CCGGTCCTGAGGACTGGTTTAGAACCACTGCTGTACAGTGATGCTGTGTACTGTTCGTAAGTTTTACATCTTTTATTTGGCAATATTTAGCCTGTAAACATCATCAGCCTTCCATCCAACATTAGGATATCTGCTACACCTCTGTAGTCAGTGGCGAAGTTATGGTGGTCTTTACACTTCTCAGACTTTCTCTGATTCTGTGCACTACAGGATAATAACACAGGAATGTTTCAGCCCCCACCCCCCTCACCCCCGTCTGTTGGGGATTTGACAGATTTGTGCTATGAAGCATGCGTCGTGTGAAGCTGTGAAAAACAGGGCTCTGTTCAGGTGAAGCTCTGAGAACAGCTCAGAGGTTCTGAATGTAAACACTGTGTCTGAAGCTCATCCTGGCCCAGACGCAGGAGGACTATAAAAACAAAGAGTGTTTTTTTATACCCACACGGATGTGCTTTAGTCTGTGAAGTATAATTTTCCCCTCAAAAAGGTTAAATATGACAAATTAGCCAACAGAAATAAGCCACCTGCTGTATTTTAGAGCTTTCAGCCTGAAGAACAAAACTGTGGCCAAAGACAAGAGATCTGAGTGTTTAGTTGACGGTAAAAAGGTGGAATACCAAACAAAAAGAACACCAAATACAGCACAAATTACTATTTCGAAGCTACAGTTTAATATTTCGAGTGCACAATTTACTGTATTGAGTCCACAAATGAAAATTTTGAGGCTGCAAATAAATAAATCGAGGCCACAAATGAATATTTTGAGACAATGAATTACTATATTGAGGCTATGAATTACTATATTGAGACCACTAATTAAAATTTTGAGGCCACAAAGTACTACACAGAGGCCACAATTTACTGTACTGAGACCACAAATTACTATAATGGGGCCAAAAAGTACTACAATAAGACCACAAATTACTATATTGAGGCCACAATTTACTGTACTGAGACCACTAAATAATATTTTGATGTCATAAATTACTATATTGAGACCACAAATTACTATACTGAGGCCATGAATCATTATTTTGAGACCACAAATTACTATATTGAGGCCACAATTTAATACATCAAGGCAGTAAAATAATATTTTGAGGCCACAATTGACTATACTGAGGTGACAATTTACCATACTTGGGCCACAAATTATTAGAAACTTAACTTGTGGCCTTAATGCATGAATTCGTGGCCACGATGTCTTAAAAAAAATAATCACCACGTCACCTTATAGTCTCCACATTTATCCATTTAATTTGAGTAATATTACTTCTGCAACATGAATTACTCGCATTACTTTTAAAGGTTTCCATGGAAACCGAGTGTAAAGCTAATGCAGACTGAAGCTAGCGCCAAAATAAACACATTATCTGTCTGTGTAACGTTAATAAACAGAAAACAAACGAGTAAAAATATGAATTTATCACCTATAAATGTTAAAATCACGAGGATAACTGATAAGACGTGCTTACTGGTAATCCAACTTAAATTAGCTAACCTAGCTAGCTAGCTACGTTAGTTAGTTAGCTAGCTAGCGTTAACTTAGCCGAGATCGAATATCAATGAATGCATGAACTACAAACAAAACGGTCAATATGAATATAAACCGTTTGAAATCAGCAATTAAAAATATGACAATAGTCTTTTAGGGACATAAAATTAAGCTAAGATCACATTTTATCTACTTTATCTTACTAACATATTAGCTAACTAACTTTACATAACCGCCTGAAATGACCAATTAAATTTACCGTAAAAAGGTAAATGTTTAAAAGCCGATTAGTGATCATTAATCTATACATTAATAACATAATAATAACATAAAACAGCTTGGAATCACCAAAAGTATGACAGTCTTTAATCATAACGAAGTTTATAAGGCTTTTTATTCGAATCTTCCGTTCTGTTCAGCAGCGTCGTGTGTTCTTATTTGAATTTTCCGTTCCACCTTAAATGGTGCAGCAGTTACATTCTGGCGTCTCAGGCACCAGAATGTAACTGATGCACTATTTAAGGTGGAACGGAAAATTCGAACAAGAACACACGACGCTGCTGAAACAGCGGTTTAACCATGTCTGAAAACACAGTAAAAGCTCAGTAAACAGCAAGAGACTCACCTCGGTTTGTTCGCCAGAGTTCGCTGAGATGTTTCAGAAGTTACTGAGTTTTCCGGAGTTAAAGGGCCGGTTTGCTGAGCAGCAAAACAGGAAAAGTGGATGAGGAGAGTCTGAGAATGAGTAAGAGAGAGGGAGAGAGAGAGTAGGAGGGCAGGCATGCCTCTGTAAGGAAAAGGATGTTTGGTAATATGGGAAATGATTCGAGTTTCCCGGTGGCGTGTTGGCTATGCCAGGAATGCGCTTTAAAGACACAGTGGGCTTTAAAGGGCTCATATCCTACATTTTACATACATCTTATATTTTCCCCTTAAGGTCCACTTGTAATGTTAGCGGAGCTTTATGTACCAAAAACACTAAACAGAGTCAGTATTCATATTTACATGACCATTTTATCCCTTAGAACTAAATAGTTTGTTTTTGTTACTGTGCCTTTGAGACTAATTTATGTAAATGAGCTCTGTTCTGATTAGTCCTGCATTGTGCCTCATCAGGGCGCTTGTAGAGATGAGAATTACCACTCTGTAATGTTTTCCAGGTTTCTCAAACGCTAGAGGGCGCTCCCGAGCGAGTCCAAAGTGAATGGGTTCAGATGGAGCATTTGAGCAAAATCATAGTTTAGAAATGCTTAAACATTTATAATGTGAGAGGATACATTTATTTCCTGAACACAGAACAGCATAAAACATTTTAGCACTGCTGTTATATTTTTAAGAGCTTTTAAACTCGAGTTATAGGAGTTTAAAATGGCATCTCATGTATATGCATGACATCTGTGAGCGTGAACAGCCAATGAGCTGCTCCGCTCGCCAACCAATCAGCACTCAATAGCAGTAATGCCAGCATTCTGCTGCCCAAAACCCGTTTGCTGTAGAAAAAAAGGAAATATATAGGTAAGTTTTCTTTGTTTTTTTAGTGAAATACATCCTTCTACTTTCTAAAATTAAAGAAACATTCTGGGCGAGTGATTAGAGACTATTTAATTTTTCATTTTTAGCCATTGAGCTTCATTTACTCCCATTCATTGAGGACTTGCTCGTGGGTGCCCTGTGGTGTTTTGCAGTCCAGTTTTTGATATAATGGGGGAAATAGGAAGTGGCCAGGCTCCTCATAAATCGGCTATGGCCTCATTCAGAAAGCAGGCCAGGCTGAAACACATAACGTAACGTTAGCATGAATGGGTGGGCGCTAAACTGCTGTAAGTTGAATAGGTGGATGACATCACAGAAATTATGATTTCAAAACAGGCTGTGTATGTTTTGAAACTTTAGTGTATATTATAGTATATATAGTATAGCAATTTTTCATTTAAAGCACAACGTGAGGAATATTAAGTTTTTCACAATTTTTTTTTCTTTAAATTGTTAGACAGTGCAGTGTATTTTCCCTTCAAAAAAAGAAATTCTGTGCCAAACGCACAAGTAAATTTGAGGTTTTTTTTCAAAAACAGACTTTCCACCTATAAGTAAACATTTCTTATAACACTGAGATGTACAACTCAATCACACTGAACTTGTGACAAAGATAATTATGATGAGGTCTGATATTTTAATTCTTGCTGTTACCAAAGTTAGACCTTCTAATGTCATTTTTTAGCAGGAAATCGCACAACTTTTCTCTAAATATTGAAAAAAAAACATCTCATAAAAATGTTTCCCTGTTTTGTGTGACGGGGTGGACGTGTTATTCTTGATGTACCCATTAAAATCACCAGTGCTATCAGTTATTCATCATGTCATATATAGGACACATATCCTACTTTTTTCTTGTATTCAGTTTTTTTCCTGAGATTCAAATACAGTTGTACACAAAAGTTGGTACACCCCTGGTCAAATTCCATATTTTGTATTTTTGTTGTTTCTGTGTGTAAATAAGTTACACATCCTCTACAGACATACAGTACTGCACATTTTTAAACACAATTAATATTTATCTACTGGATTTAACATCACTACACTCTGTACACATCTTCCATTTAATCAGCTCCACTGACTATATAGGAGCACTTCATAGTTCTACAGTTACAGACTGTTTTATTATTAAGTATTATTTGGTTGGTGGGTCATTTTCAGCACTGCAGGGACACTGACGTGGTGGTGGTGGTGTGTTAGTGTGTGTTGCGCTGGTGCGAGTGGATCAGACACAGCAGTGCTGCTGGACTGAGAACCAAAAACATCCAGCCAACAGCATCCTGTGGGCAGCGTCCTTTGACCATTGATGAAGGATGAGAGATTGACCAACACACACTGTGCAGCAGCAGATGAGCCATCGTCTCTGACTTTACATCTACAAGGTGGACCAACAAGGTAGGAGTGTCTAAGAGTGGATAGTGAGTGGACAGTATTTAAAAACTCCAACAGCACTGCTGTGTCTGATCCACTCACACCAGCGCAACACACACTAACATACTGTGCGATGAGGTTGAAAGCACAGACAGACGATTTTTTAATTCATAATTGTTTTTGTGATGTCACAGAAACCAATACATTTACATATATCTAACTATTCAGCCTACAGCAACTTAGTCCTATCCACTTACACTGAAGTTATAAGGAGTGTTTCAGCCTGGACTGGGTTTTGAGTGATCGACAGCCAATCAGAACAGAGCTCATTTATATATACCAGTCTTAAAGGCACTGTAACAAAACAATATGTTTAATTCTAAGGGATAAAGAGAGGATGGAATATGGTCATATACAAATTTAATGTTTTTGGTACGTATAACCACACAACAGTTATTTAAGTGGACTTCAAAGCAGTGAAAAGTGAAAGAAAAATGTACTATACAGACTCTTTAATATAACTTCAGTCTATGTGGACATTCTTTAAAATTGAGGTAATAAAGGAGAATGAATAGATATTTAAAAAAAAAAGGACAGACTGTGTAGGTTAAATATTTTAATATAAAACATCACAGATGTCTATACAGTGTGATGAATCCTTCATTATATTCATGGAAAAGTTAGAAAACAGTGGTTAAAGAGACAATAAATATTTGTTTTCACACAAAAATGAGTTTCAGACCACAAAGTAGCGCAGAGTAAGGGGTCTATAGTAGAACACTGGTCTTCTTGGGAACACTGGCAGGAGGAACCCCAGACTCTGCCACCTTCTCTAACTCACCTGACTCACCTGGCCAGGTCACACCTGAGTCAGGTCTACCAGAGCAGGAAAAATGCAAACATGTGCAGTGCATAGGCTTCCCAAACTGGGCCTGAGATTCTGCTCTAATGTCACTCTTAAAGTGATACTTCAACCAAAAATCAAATTTACAGCCCACCCCACTTCAGCAGGCTAATATAGCTAACAAGTAATGGAAGCTTATGTACACCAATTAGCATGGTGCTAATGGCATGCCTAAGTCACTTCCCTCAAACCCTGTCGCTGTTTAAGAATCTCGAATAGACCTGCTGAAGGGCAGCATTTGTTAGGTCAATTAAGTCTTTAAAGGGGCAGTTCCACCAAATGTTCACAATTTATGCATAATTAAATGGTTGAGATGTCATTCAGAGTGGTTTGGTGTGAAATGCTCCGTTTTAGAGAAACTTACTGAGTCAGAGTTGTTCACAGTGGTGGTGATACGAACCAGACTTCCACCTCTAAAGGCTCCCTCACAGAAAGTTATTACATGAAATGGGTATGAATACACTGCCTGATGTCTGAGACACTGTTTTATGATAGTTTTGAGAATTAGTTCTGAAAATCCAGTCATGGTGGAAGGATACATGCAGAAGCGAAATAGTCAAAGAAAACTTATTATTTCAGATTTTTCACTATTTTCCCCATCATCAACATTCCATATAAAATAATTTCACACCAAACCCCTCTGAATCACTCTGTTTACATCTGAGTGATTGAATTATGCTGTCATAAAGGCTGTTTTTATCACTTTTTAGGTCATTTCATCTAAGAAATTGTTATGAAAGTGAGGATAGTTAGAATGAGCCTTCATAAATGTTATATAGGTTAATGTTGGTGTCTTGTAGCTTTACGAATGCCTCAGTAAATTGTTACTGACTTGATCTGGTTTTTGAGACTGTATAACACAGTTATCATTAAAATTAAGACAAAAGTATGTCATATAGCTCAAAACAGTAGCAGCAGTCTTGAAACGGTTTTGTCAGAACGTGTGTTCATAATATTAGCTGAACTATCGTTTTAAGAAGGTATCTCCTCCAGTAGCTTGCTGGCTGAGAAGAAAACCTGGAGCAGATTACTGGCCTTGCTGTGAACATGGCATAAAACAGAGGTACTCAAATCTGGATCCGTATTGCTGGTAGTTAATGCAATAATTTTGTGCGACTGGTCGTGGGCACCTGGTCCTGGACTGGGACCTCGGTATTGCTGGGGTCAGAGGCTACACATGTAAACATGAATATGAAGCACGAGCAAGCACAAGTGGTTTTGGCAGTGCAACACCATTTTGTCTTTTTGTCATTACACATACACACTCTAGGGTGAATTCATTACTGCTAAGGAGATGATTTATGTGGACCGTTCCCATAGATCTCCTTCAGAACCAGCAGAGCCGTGTCTTCAGACTCCCTGCAAAAAAAACAACATGACATATTTGCACAATTACAAATTTGCATCGATTTCCAAAATTCCTTCATAATTAAATGGCTGAGATGTAAATAGTGTCATTCAGAGTGGTTTGGTGTGAAACGCTCTGATGTCTGATACATTGTTTTATTGTAGTTTTGAGAACTTGAAACCCATTCATGGTAGAGGGATACATGTAGAGTGCTGTGAGGCAAAAAAAGTCCCCAAAGAAAACGTATTATTTCAGATTATTACTATTTTCCCATCATTAACATTCCATATAAAACTTGTGTAGGTTCACTGGTGGTTTTGGATAGTAAATGTCTATATTTGTGTTATAGTCATGGTGACCCCTGGTTCCTATCAGCACCACTGTAAAGAAATCTGGACCATTTCACACCAAACCACTGAATTATACAGAAATTTTGAAATATTGGCAGAATTCCCCTTAACATATGTACAAGGGGACAGTAACAGGGTTTTCCATCAAGTATTTCTATGAATATATGCTAACGTCATACTACAAAAAACCTGTTCACTGCAGAAAAATAATAGAATAATAATAATAATAATAATAATAATAATAAGAAGAAGAAGAAGAAGAAGAAAAGAAAAGATTATTTTTGGAAGTATATTTGATGTTTGTCTATGTAGCTTACTTTACGAGCACTGTGGTGAGCAAAATGTTCTTAGTAATGGTTTAAAGTTTATATTCCATTTCATCCATGACATTCATGCAAGCAACATAGTTTAAATCGTGCGGGTTATTTCAGCCAATGGAACAACATCTATGACGCCAGACGGATCAGCTTGGCAGGGAGGACCACCAGTCACCGCAGCGGTCTTACCATGGGGGATGTCTTTGACTACTTTCTGGCAGATGTTTGTGTGATATCTGTGGTATGTTTGTGTGCTCTCTCACCAGTAGCACAGGTGACTCTGGATGGCGAACAGGTACTCGTTAAAGCTCTCGATGGGTTTTTCCTGGAGGACGTAATCGATCCGCTGACCACCATTTAGCCTCCCCACCTTCACCTCCTTCCTCTCCTCATCCTCCACCGGAGACGCTGAGGAGCATCAGAGATGGAGTTCATGCAGCACATGCAGCAGTAGCTTTGATATAGACTTGACCACATTGGAATTAGCACAAATATTCATTCACAGTTCAGTTTACTTTCATTCAGCTTTATCAGCATCACATTTAGAGATTACAAAAAGTACTTTTTTTGGCATTTTTATTTTCTCAAATGTAACAACCACAGTAGCCTATGTGTTTGGTTTGGTTGATGGTAACATTGCTTAAAGTTCTACAGTGCTTTTGGTATTGACTCACTTTCCATGTCCTCAGTCAGTGGGGATGCTGCAGCTGTAGCGCCCCCTTCAGCCAGCGCCGGAGTGGGCAGCTGAGAGAAACTCTGCCACACGGTCCTTAACGAGCCCAGCAGGTCCGAACCCACTCGAGTTAGACCCTCTTTCAGCTCTGTTACAGCACACAGACAGGAAAAGACCCTTATTACCCTTCTTCAGACCACCCCAGGCCAACTCAAAATTCTATTAAAGGGCCCATAACATTGAAAAAGAAGGTTTTCCTCACTTTTTTTAAAGTAAAACAATTTGATGTGGCATGTAAACACTGTTATGTGTAAAGTGTACCATTTACTCCCCAGGCTGTACACTCCAAACTAAGCTGCAAAATGGCTGTTTTTTTTGTTTGTTTTTGTGATGTCATTAAGCTAGATGTCCTTTACATCATATTACTTGCACTGCACTTTATGTAACTATGTTTATCTGTATTGTTCCTGCCAAATAAATAAATTAAATTAAAAAATAATCATTTCCATGTACTCCTTCTGGTCAGCTTACAGCAGTTTACCTCGCCCATTTGTTCTAAAGTTATTCTAAAGGTGTGTTTCAGCCCAGACATCCCTTTGAAAAAGGCACAGTACAGTGCAGCTAATTCATTTTCAGTTCAGTTCATTTACATTTCACTGCTGTGGGAAGAAAACCCTGTATCTCCATTTTTATCGGTTTTTGACATAATTTGAAAATGCCCTTTACGTTGTGTGTAAATTTCATGATGAATGGACCAAAATAAATGACCCAAAATTACTTGGAAAAAAAGTCTGGTTCCATTGACTTACATTAAAAGAAAATTATGTTTTTTCCTTCTCCTGTAAAGTTACCATTTTGGAGATACAAGGTTTTCTTCCAACAACAACGATATATCAGTCTTCAAGACACAGTGACAAAAATAGCCTGTTTAATGGTTTAATTTAAATATAAGGTTGGAAAATGGTCACATAAAAGGGAATTCTGACCATTTTTGGTGCACAATGTTACAAAAAATGAAGTGGACTAGGTGACAAATACAAGAAAAATGTCAGCTATGGACCCTTTAATTTTGGTTTGGAATTAAGAATTACATTTTTCAATTCAGATTTATTTTTTTACAATATGCTGACTACACTAATGGAACTGAATAGCCTTGTTTTCTCGGTAGTGGAATATAGAGAATAAAATAATACAAATTTTTTAATAGTCTAATAAGTTTATCATGGCCAGAAAGTGAGCACATTCTTTACTGAATATTGTTGTAATTAATTAATTAGCTGCAACATCCATAATTGGTGCAGTTGAATCATAACCTTCAAACTGATGCAATTTTATGCTCCTATTACAGATATTTGTCAGTGGTAGAAATTACCCAGATGCATCCTCTTCCTCCCCTTGTGATGGGGCATCAGCATGGGCGGGACGTCCATGTCTGGAGGCAGAATCATGGGCTCGATCCGGTATGCCACCGGGTCAAACTGCACACGAGGACAGGACAGATTATTAGGAATACACTGATACTGATTTTTGTTTTTGTGAACAGCTCCTGATTCTTAGACGCTGTGTTTTGTGTTGCTCTTACAGGATGGAAGATGTTGTAGAAGCTCCTGCAGGTGGGAAAGCTGTAGTTTGGGTCGATTCTCTTCAGGCCTCTGACCGTCAGGAACATTCCTATTGGTGACCCGAAGGCAAAGAAGGCCTGAGGGTGGAAGGCCAGCTGAGGGTAATCGATCGACACCTGCAAGACAAGACAGCTGATCAGCTAATGTCACATAAAAAATGCTATGTTACAGTACAGAGGGCATCACGGATGTTTACAGAACACAACAGCAACCTGAACTTCACGCTGTCCTTCTGTAAACAGAACTGAAGGCAGAAATATTTCCTTTGTTTTTTTATGTACCAAAAAAACATTTTGATTAATTTCTACACAACCCTTTTCCAACCCCTCTTTATCTCTTAGAATTAAACTGGCTGTTTTTGTTAAAGACTGATCTTTGTAAATGAGCTGAATGGGTGGGGCTAAACTGCTGTAGGCCGAATGGGTGGAGCTAAAGTGCTGTAGGCCGAATGGGTGGGGCTAACCTGCTGTAGGCCGAATGGGTGTGGGCTAACCTGCTGTAGGCCGAATGGGTGGGGCTAACCTGCTGTAGGCTAAATGGGTGGGGCTAAACTGCTGTAGGCTAAATGAGCGGGGCTAAACTGCTGTAGGGCAAATGGGTGTGGCTAAACTGCTGTAGGGCGAATGGGTGTGGCTAAACTGCTGTAGGGCGAATGGGTGTGGCTAAATTGCTGTAGGCCGAATGGGTGTGGCTAAACTGCTGTAGGCTGAATGGGCGGGACTAAACTGCTGCAGGCTGACAGGACATGTGACTTTCCAAGATATGGGTCATTTCATTTTCAAAGAGTACTGTGATTCAATGTACATTTATTTTAACTTATCTATATAAAGCCCCTCATCTGTCTTATAATGTGTCCTTGAAGATTCAGCACACACAGCAGTCAATATAGAAAGAGTAAATATTCGCTCCACCTGTCCAATGCCAACGTCAAAGTGCTGGTAGTCCACGGCGCTGGTGGTGGGCGGGCTCTCCTGGATCAGACTGTGCAGTCTGGAGGACTTCTGGGAATGTTTTCCGGTTTGGGCTGCTGGAGCATGGAGCTGGAGCAGCAGGAGAGCAACAGGGTCAGGATGAGACAAGTACCTCAGAAACAATAAAGCCCTATCAGCTTTAGCTTCCAGTCAAACAGCCACAGCGCCGCTCTGTCTCAGAGGAAGTCTCGCTGTGACCTGCTCTGCCCTCTCCACACAGAGTTAAAGCTGCAGTACATGACATTCAAATTACAGCCTCAGATACCTTCAATTTCTTCACATAGTTGAGAATCTTCTTGCGGGGGCCCAGGGGGATTCCCAGCTCTTTCAGATCTCTCTCAGAGCACAGCATCTGGAAAACAGAAAGTCGTATTAGGAGAAAGTCTGCACAGTAAAACACACAAGCATGTCAGTATCACTGCTGTGCTGAGAGTGACCTGCCACCCAAATAGCATCTGGACAGCAATGGTCCTGTGGTGGTCTTTTTCCATTAATGGACAGGAGAGAGGGGCCTGATTAACTCTACAGCAACAGATGGGCTACAGTCTGTAACTGTACACCTACATAGTAGAGATACAAGAGTGGCGTTTCTGATAAAATGGCTAATAACTACTTAGTAGGTGTTTCTAAACTGATCACACATCTGTAATGTGTGCATAATATGGTGTTGTATTGACTGAAATATGCAGGGGGTCCCTGGAAAAAATGTTGTCCTGAACGCAGCGTATCGCTGCTGTCGGAAGAAAAGCGTGTATCTTCATTTTGTCGTTTTTCCCTTTTTGAGACAATTTGAAAATGACTGTTGCTCTTTACATTGTGTGTAAATTTCATGAACAATGGACTGCAAAAAATGGCCCAAAATGACTTGGAAAAATGTCTGGTTCCATTCACTTACATTAAAAGTGAAGCAGGTTAATTGCTTTTCCCGTAAAGTTACCATATTGGAGATACAAGGTTTTCTTCTGACAACAGCGATATGTTGCTCAAAAATCTCCATGTATGTTTTAGTATGGCACCATCGCAGCGGTGTGAGTGATCTTTGCCAAGAGCACTGACACACCTCCACACCATGACAGACGCTGGCTTTCTGACTAGTTGCTGGTAACAGTCTGAGTACACAGTGTCCATTTCTTCCAAAAATGACCTGAATAGTCTGACAACAATACACATTTCCACCGTAAGATAGTCCATCCCAGATGCCTCCGAGCCCAGAGAAGTCGACGGCGCTACTGGACACGGTTAGCGTAAGGCTTCCTTGGCACAGTAAAAATTTAACCAGCATTTGTGGATGTAAATACGTATTGTAGTGCCAAAGTTTTGCCAAAGTAATTCTGAGCATGTGTGGTTCAAACGCTAATGATGAATGACAATTCTTCACGCAGTGCCATCTGAGGGACCATCAGAGAGCTCAGTTATTCAGCTTAAGCTAGCACCCTTTATGCACTCAAATTCCTCCAAATTTCTTACATTTTTTAATTATGCTGAGCCTCACAGAGGCTGAAATATTCAAATCCCTTCCTAATGATGAGCATTGTTTTTGAACATTTTAATAATTTTCTCAAGTGCTTATTGGCGAATTGGCGATCCTCGGCCCATCTTTGCTCCTAAAGGACTCAGGTTTTCCTGGATGTTGTTATTGTAACAAATCATGATTACCTGTTGGCTGTTTTAAATCACATTCATAATTTATTTTACCTCATTACTAGCCCTAAATCACCTCAAACGTTTTGGAATGTGTTGCAGGCCTGATTGGCAGGAATGGATGTATATTTACAAATGAACTAAAACTGAGCAGACAAAACATGAAATATCTTGCGTTTATGCTGTCTCCAATGTAATAAAAGTCTATTTTTCAACATTTTTTTTTATTTGCATTCTCCAAATAAGAATTTGGGGTTGTGTATATAGTCGCTGTTGAAAAAACAATCTAATCTAAGAGCACGGTTTTGTTTGTAAAACATAAGAAAAGAACAAAGTCTACACTGCCTTAAAGGGTAAGCCACCATTTTCAGTCCTTGAGATGTAAACAGAGTGATTCAGAGTGGTTTGGTGTGAAATGATTCAGATTTCTTTACAGTGGTGGTGATAGGAACCAGGGGTCGCCATGACTACAACACAAACACAGACATGTTTTTTTACTATCCCAAACCACCAGTGAACCTACACGTGTCTTCTGAGTTTTATATGGATTATTGATGATGATGATAAATAGTCATAAATCTGGACAAATACATTTTCTTTGGGGACTATTTGGCCTCACAACACCCTGCATGTATCCCTCCACCATGAAAAATGGTGGAGGAATGACTCTGTTTACACCTCAACCATTTAATTACGTAGAAATTTTGAAAAATTAGTGGAATTCCCCTTCAACTCTACTAAAGGCCTTATGAACTGCTAATTTTGACCCAAATTTAACTCAAAGGTTAAGAACAATCCATTTCACTTTTGCACATACTTTCTCTCAGTAGACTGGAGCTGCTATCTATGAACTGCTATGAACTGAATCTCCCACTAATGGGTAGTTAGCCCATCACATGTGTTTTGGTATATGAGTTGAATTGAAGCCTCACCAGAGCCTCCAGGTCCACTTGCTCTTTCTGCAGCACTCTCAGATGTTCCTCCAGCCCTGCATTCTTCAGCGCCTCCTCCAGGCTCGTGAAGGAATTGCAGTCCAAGTCAGGGAGAGAGCTGAAGTCTTCATTATGCTCTGCTGCCTAAACAAAAATGAAAATCTGAATTACAGCTTTGTTTATAGTACATGTTGAAAGCCCATAAACATTAAAAGTCGTGATGGGATCATGTTTACTGTAATATTTCCTCAGATATTGTTAGTGAATTCAGATATGAATGTAGAAGCAAACAAACCTCCTCTGGCTCCGAGCTTTCTGATCCTGTCTTCTGATTGGTCAGGAGGTCAAAAAGGATTAATGAGCCTACAAGAGAATGAGAAATTAATATTCATTTTCCTCATAAAGAAAAAAAACTTGGACGCCAAACATGTCTTGGCTGATCAACTGCATTTGGGGTAAGTAGAAAATCATGTGAGTGTCTCATCAAATGATTCCTTTACGTCATAAAGTTGTTAGTAAAGGCCAAAGTTACTGACCCAGGCTGTGTCCAACCACAGACACGGCTCCTGAGAAGTGTGGGTGTCTGAGCAGAAAGATGCTGTGCAGGCGGTTGATCTCAGACGCCACTGTGTCCACTATGGTCTGGCAGTAGGTGGCGCTGTTGTAGAAGAACAGATCCAACACTGTGTCGTTGCAGAACTGTCTTAGGCGGCTGATGCTGGGCAGAGTGATCCGCTCAATATCTCTGTTTGATATGAGAGAGAGCTCAGTTTAAAGAAACAGCAAAAACTCTAATTATCTATTTAAAAAGAGGACAAAAATATGGACAGAATTTGTTACTAGAGTTTTTAGCTATGTAATATACTTTTGTAAGTTTAAATGCAAGTTTGCTTCTTTACTTATAGCACTGGAGTTTCAAAGCTAATGAAGCTAGCAGTGGTTGTGTTTACATGAAAAGATTTTTGCCAATCTGATTGAATACATTCGGATTATAGATTAAGACTGAGGTGTTTGCCCCCTTCCTGATTTCTTATTCTTTTGCATGTTTGTCACACTTAAATGTTTCAGATCACCAAACAAATTTAAATATTAGACAAAGATGACACAAGTAAACACAAAATACAGTTTATAAATGAAGATCTTTATTATTAAGGGAAAAAGAAATCCAAACCTACAGGACCCTGTGTGAAAAAGTGATTGCCCCCTAAACCCAATAACTGGTTGGGCCACCCTTAGCAGCAGCAACTGCAATCAAGTGTTTGCGATAACTGGCAATGAGTCTTTTACAGCGCTGTGGAGGAATTTTGGCCACTCATCTTTGCAGAATTGTTGTAATTCAGCCACATTGGAGGGTTTCCGAGCATGAACCGTCTTTTTAAGGTCATGCCACAGCATCTCAATCGGATTCAGGTCAGGACTTTGACTAGGCCACTCCAAAGTCTTAATTTTGTTTTTCTTAAGCCATTCAGAGGTGGACTTGCTGGTGTGCTCTGGATCATTGTTCTGCTGCAGAACCCAAGTGCACTTCAGCTTGAGGTCACGGACAGATGGCCGGACATTCTCCTTCAGGATTTTTTGGTAGACAGCAGAATTCATGGTTCCATTTACCACAGCAAGTCTTCCAGGTCCTGAAGCAGCAAAACAGCCCCAGACCATCACAATACCACCACCATATTTTACTGTTGGTATGATGTTCCTTTTGTGAAATGCTGTTACTTCTATGCCAGATGTAATGGGACATACACCTTCCAACTTTTGTCTCGTCAGTCCACAGAGTATTCTCCCAAAAATCTTGGGGATCGTCAAGATGTTTTCTAGCAAAACTGAGACGAGCCTTTATGTTCTTTTTGCTCAGCAGTGGTTTTCGTCTTGGAACTCTGCCATGCAGGCCATTTTTGCCCAGTCTCTTTCTTATGGTGGAGTCATGAACACTGACCTTAACTGAGGCAAGTGAGGCCTGCAGTTCTTTGGATGTTGTTGTGGGGTCTTTTGTGACCTCTTGGATGAGTCGTCGCTGTACTCTTGGGGTAATTTTGGTCAGCCGGCCACTCCCGGGAAGGTTCACCACTGTTCCATGTTTTTGCCATTTGTGGATAATGGCTCTCACTGTGGTTCGCTGGAGTCCCAAAGCTTTGGAAATGGCTTTATAACCTTTTCCAGACAGATATATCTCAATTACTTTGTTTCTCATTTGTTCCTGAATTTCTTTGGATCGCAGCATGATGTCTAGCTTTTGAGGATCTTTTGGTCTACTTCACTTTGTCAGGCAGGTCCTATTTAAGTGATTTCTTGATTGAGAACAGGTGTGGCAGTAATCAGCCTGGGTGCGGCTAGGGAAATTTAACTGCATGTTGTGTTTACTTGTGTTATCTTTGTCTAATATTTAAATTTGTTTGGTGATCTGAAACATTTAAGTGTGACAAACATGCAAAAGAATAAGAAATCAGGAAGGGGGCAAACACTTTTACACCACTGTATATGCTCACTCTACTCAACATATCCAATGGAAATCTCTGTTTACATGCACACTACAAGTAATTAGAGATACTGAACCACTAATTGATGAGGTGTAAGCTTCCTTTACTCATTAGCTACAGTCCTGCACAAGCCAGAGATCATACATACATACATACATACATACATACATACATCATCTAAACCGCTTATCCTTCTGGGTCGCGGTGGGGTGCTGGAGCCTATCCCAGCTGTCATTGGGCGGAAGGCAGGATACACCTTGGACAGGTCGCCAGTCCATTGCAGGGCGGACAGACAGACAGACATATACAATCACACACACATTCACACCTAGGGGCAATTCAGCATTTCCAATTGGCCTGACTGCATGTCTTTGGACCGTGGGAGGAAACTGGAGTACCCGGAGGAAACCCACGCAGACACGGGGAGAACATGCAAACTCCACACAGAAAGGACCCCGGTCGCCTGGCCGGGAATCGAACCCAGGCCCTTTTTGCTGTGAGGCGACAGCGCTACCCACTGCGCCACCGTGCTGCCCAGCCAGAGATCACTATTCATTTATTATCAAAATTAGAAAACATTATATACATAATTACCACATTTTTCAGTATTTAGTGTGTCCATTCTATACCTTTAACACAGCTTCCACTCTTTTTAGGAGACTCACTTTCAGTTTCTCAAAGAAATCTGCAGACACACCTCCAAAGTTCAGTCTTAGATGTTGGTTCATCATTTTCTGAAGTAATCAAACACATTCAGTGATGTTGAGGTCTGGACTCTGGGGTGGTCAGTCCACTGTTCAGCTTCTTTGTTTGATGTGTCTGTCTCCTGTTCTCAGTGAGGCTTCTTGACAGCTTCACATCCTTTCAGACCCATAGCGCTGAGTTGTCTTCTCACAGTGGAAGGATGGACAGAAACACCTGTGGATGTTTTCAGATCTGAAGCAGCTTGATTTTCTCCTCTCTCTCAAAGATGAAAGCTTTAAGTGCTGTTTATCTGATGGGGACAGTTTTAGTGTCTACCAGGTCTTCCAGGTGGTTGTTAGGGGTCCCATTTTCTCTGTAGCTTTAAATCAGTTTTTGAACTCCAGTTTCAGAAACTTCACTTACTTTCCTTTGACTTTCATCTTCCTTATGCAAGTGGATTATCTTATGTAATCTCCTTAAAAATATCTCTTTAAAAAAAAACAAAATCAATAACTTGTACCTTAACGGTGTTCTGTCTGGAAATTAAATCTCTGACTTTAGCACAGTACTGTACATTAACCTCAAAGCTCCAGTGCAAAGCTAAAGACACCAAACAGACTGATGAACAACTAAGTTCATCTACATGTGTTTTGAACATTTCCACAAAAAGGCCTATTAGTGCTCTAATTACTTCATCCACTTTACTAAGCCGGTGTTTCCAATAAAGTGGACAGTGAGCATATAATAAATCAAGAAGCCACGAGAGGCCGGGTGCTGTTAGGCACAATGCAATTTTTTTCTTTTTTGTTGCTTTTTAAAAATGGCGGACAACATAAAATATGATAAATTATTTTCTGAGAAATTGTATAAGTTATTTTTAATAACAATAGTTGACATAAACAAGTATTCCGACAAGAAATGTAGTTCCTTTAGAGCATGGTATTGCTGTCAAGCAGCCATGGATCGCTGAATGAGGAGAACAATCGGCCGCCCATCGCTGTATACTGCGGTCATTTCATGATTTTTGAAAACTTTTTGCCGTATAACGATGAACATATGATAACATATCACTGTTTAATGCAAAAGTCTTCGCTTTATAAGTACTTCTTTGTCACCAAATTACCACTGTGAGTCTTATTTTTTACCGATACAGCGGCGCCCTCTTCTCACACTGGGGCTGAATCTCAAAAGGCTCCCTGCTCCCTACATAGTGCACTACATAGGAATTTAAATATTGGAGCCCAACGGTGTAAAATATAACTAAGAAATAGTCATTTGGGACTCAGACACATCAATACTCGACAAATGATGCACTATTTGGCTGTAGAGGCTAGAATTTCAAAACTTTTATAGCTAGCAAACTATTTAGGAATCCCATTTGGGATTCATCCTGGGTTTGACGTGACTTCTGACTGAAACATGAACATTTAAAGCGTGTCAGCCATTCAAGTGACATTTTTTGACTTTTATACTGCCGCTTTACAGTGAATCATACCGTAAGTACTTTAATTTAAGCTTGTGATATTAATGATGGAGGTGTTTAGGATGTTTGCTATCTTTTAGCCTGTCAGCTAGCTGACCAGCCTAGTTCTAGTTAAGAACATAAGCTGTCAGCCTCTCAGTTTGATCAAAAACGGGTTCTTACTTCATCAACATACTCGGTGGTCCATGTGAGTAGCATGAGAGTCAAAGATTATTCCATTAACAGCACAAGAGTTTTTTTTTGTGCCGTGGCGCAGTAATACAGAGTTCAGTTGTTGTGAGGCGGTCATAGGTGAGCGTATATCATGGATTCTACAACAGGTTTTTATGCTGCTCGGCCAATCAGATTTTAGGACTGGAACTCTCTATTTTATAAGAGCAGACTTAACCTCCTCCTCTCTCACTGAGTCTGTGTAGGATTTTTTAATCCCATTAGTGATGTCTGTTTATCTGACCTGTCCACTCCTGTGGTTTCTCCGTGTAACACTCTGTGCCAGTTTACAGGCAGAAATTCCACGCGGCCGATGGATTCCTGATCCACAGTAGAGCTAAAATGGCTGCTGATGAGTGTCAGAGACGCACTGCGGAACTCGTTCACTGAAAAGAAAAAAAAACAAAACAAAAAAAAACAAACAAAAAAAGAATTATTTTATTAATTAATTTAAACATTCATTTAAACAAAGGGAGCTACACTGACCATCAAATGTTTGGGGACAGCTACCTTTTCATAATGTTTTTGGTCCAAATGATCATGTTTTCTTTGAGATGCACAACAATAACACAATCATAACTGTTTCTTTTCCAGTTATCAGATTATTAAGTGGGTTGTGTAATCAGCACGCTCTGATTTCTTAGAGCAGATTAAGGTCTAGAAATCTGATTAACAAATCTGATAAAGAGGCTGGATTTGAGCTCAGTAATGGGGTTTTTCAGTGCATGTAAACCTTCACTCTGATTACTTTTGTTTCTCTGCTTGACGAAATGAAGGATTTAAATATTCTTAATCTTCATATTTTCTGACATTAAGGTTAAAAGTTTTTTAAATAGCTAATAAAAAGTAATTGCAGCATGAAGTTTGAGTTTGAGTTTCATTACGTTACATCTTATTCTGTGAGTTTATTGGCCGGTTGTAAAACCGAAATCCGATTACAGCCTGACTCATGTAGACCCGGAGTTTCCCCAGTATCTGATTACCCAAGAGCATGAAAACACAGTGAGCCAGTTATTGACACATCTGATTTTCTGCAGTGATCAGATTAGTAAGTGTAAACACACTAAAACAGTTACTGACACAATCTGATTTTCTGCAGTTTTCAGATTATTTAGTGCATGTAAACACACTCTTTGTCAGTTTGCAATAACTGCACATATTAAAGCTGAATCAGGTTTATTTAAAGAAAATCAATATCCTACGTGCAAATATTTGTGCCAATGTTAGTGACAGTGCTACCTTGGCAATAAAGCCAAAGGACAAACCCACTTTCTCCCAGTGCTGTGATGTCAGCACTGATCAGCACTCAATCTCACTTTCAAAATATATAGTGTAATGTTACTGTCGAGCTAAAGCAAACATCCTCACAGGCCACAGGTGAAGAAGGTAGGGAGTTTAATCTCACCACACTGGACGATGCCTCTCAGACGCAGGTCACACGCTGGCCCAATCCCGTGTACCATAAACACCAGATGATCCACCGAGTCCGGCTCTCCTGCAGAAAACACACACACAGCTAATATCACACATTTAACAAGACAGATACTGAACACAGTGTTGAGTGCTTAACCTTCTGCATTACAGCAACAACAACAACAACAACAACAACAATTAAAATATTGCATTTTTCACTTTACTTACAAAATCTCCAAGTGCTTTATAGAGGAATATAAATACAATATTCAAAGGATAAAAAAAAACAATACAGTCTAAATGAAAATCAGGAAAAAATGAGCCACTTTGAGGCATATCCTAACCTAAACAAATACATTTTTTATCTGGACATCGAGTTTGAAATCATGCATTCCCTTGAATGCTGCTCCAGAGTTTAGGAGATCTGTAAGACAATGATCTTCTACCAGCTGAGCTGTGAGAGATCAGTGCTGTAAGCCTGCCTCAGCTGAGTGAAGTGATCTGGATTGTCTGTTATGCTTTAACAGATTAGTATTATCTACCAGAGCTCAATCTGAATCAAATCTGATTCACAGTGATTCAGAATCAGTTTTATGTAAAAGTGTTATACGCTTCCAGCGCTTGTTAGCAACATTGGCCTCATAGCTCCAGTGCTAAAACTAAATAAGCAAATTTCAGACACCAAACACGTCTCAGATGATAAACTACATTTGGAGTATCTAGGGGTGAATCTGTGTAACCTGGATTGAAATTTGAATTTTTTGCTGAACTATTACTTTATCACAAACATATGCTAAAATATGATAATCGGATATCGTTTCTGGGGTCTGGACTCACCCTGAGGGATTTCCACTGGAATATTCTCTATTCCTCTCTTCAGAGTCCTGGCCTGTGTGCGCTCGCCGGGCGACGGAGGGAAATCTCTGCAGTAGTTTGGGTGCTGAGTCATCAGCTGAGAGAGGAAACACAAACCATCAGTCAAACCATCAGTCAAACCATCAGTCAAACCAATACACAAACGACCAGATCTTGGATTATGAAACATACATGAACAAACATTTGTGATTCTTCTTATTGAAGGAACATTATTGGAGGTGGAGAAAATATATCACAATATTTCAAGAAATTTTCACGGACATGATGTGTCACGATATTTATTTTTTCAGACATCTGATCAGTTGAAACTGAGAACAAAGAACCAGGAGTGCTATATTAAAAAATACTATCACAAAGTATGAACACAATGACTTCTGTTCAGCATTTGGCACTAAATCCAGTTAAACTGGGCTTTTACTTGCTTTATAATGAAACATGCAGTTGGTCAGGGTCTACAAGCACTGCTGATACACACAATATGCTCAGAAAAGCATAATATATTGTTTTGTGACATTACTTATCACGTTAACAATATATATTGTCGTAATGCCTAGCCCTAAGCATTAGTAACACAAATATTTTTAAAAAGTAATAATATAATATTTTTGCCTTTTTTTGTCACACAGCATGTGACAATGGAACTACATGCTGCAATGCATATAGGGTACGCAGAGTACACATAGTTAGTCAAGGTAAAAACATCAAGTTGAAATAAAATAACAGTGACCAATGGCAGTGTATTCATTTACTCAAATTGTATTCAATGCAGATCACAGTTATATGCTGTTGCCCTATGGCAACAACTATATTTCATTATTTTATATAAAACGTATCTCATCTAAACTGGTTTCTTTGCTAAAAAAAGTAATTTTAAGGTCCTACACACTGTGTTTGAAAGCTAGGCCATGTGATCAGATAAAAGTATGCCAGGTTACACAAAAAACCTTCAGTTTACCAAAGAACGTTGTGCAGTGTTAAAGACATTTTGATTTATAGACTATAACAAATGCTTGAAATTTGTTTCCAAGACAAATATAAACAGTGAAATTAGGCCTGTATATGGATTTGTTTTCAAAATATACATTGTAAATGTACATTTTTCTTCAGGGAGGCTGCTGGAGAATCTAAAACAGATTTTTTGAACACTTTTTTGCTCCCTACATAATTTCACAGTTTAATGATCTTCACTGTTATTCTAAAAGTGTGGGAAATCTTAAAAACATAACAAAAAAGACAAACGCTTCATAATCAAGTGTGACCTGTAATTGGTTCCGCATAGAGCCCGTATTCCCACTGGCACTTTTAAAAGCGGTCACAGGTCACAGTGATACTGATCACTATGAGTTTAAAAAGCTTTGGCTGGGTAACGTTACCATACATAAATACAAATTTATTCCGAATCTACTGGAATTTCCTCAGATGGAAGCTGGACTAAATTACTAAACACGCTTATAAAAAGTAAAAAAAGAAAAGAAATTATACATTTTTAATTATTAAAAGGAAACAAATACAGCCAAATTCACAAAGAGGCTTGTGGAGCAGCCATGCAGAAGGAAGACAGAAGCTGAGCAATGATGTGGTCTGAAATACAAAATTTCAAACGAATTTTGAGAAAATCACTCATTTAGTCAGCTTTATGAAAATTACCCCGAACAAAATGCTGTTTTTTACCAGTTAACCACATTTAAAAATAACCATCCTCCAGATGAATATGAAGAATATTTGTGAAAAACTTGAAGTGCACATGTTGATGTTTAATGTGAAGCGCAGACATCTTGAAGACATTTTGCAGCCACAGTTTGTGTTTACAGCAGCTGGTGATCAGCGCTGGCATGAAATAGATGGGAGGACTAAATTAAGCTAACAGGGTAACATTAGTGCTCTGCAATGCTCTTCAAGGCAGAAAATGGAAAAAAAAAATGTTACACAAACACAAGAAGTTTCCAGCTGATTCCACACACCGTCAAAACAGCCAGGCTTCAACGGTAAATAACACACTTTGGGAAAAACGATTCATTTGAACCGATCATGACGTTACGTTTGTCACATCGTCAAATTTCAGCTGTTAGCCAAGAAAGGACCCCAAATCCCAGATGCGTCAGAGTCGAAGAATCGACTCCCCATCACTTTGTGAGAGTACCTTTGGGTTGTGGAGGATGACCGTTTCCCCTGTGGGCAGCTCCAGATTCCTTTTCCATTCCTCCAGGGTCACAGCGATCATGTAGGCATCCTGTAGGATGGGGAAGAATCAAATATGACTCCCAGCTGCATCTCACCCCTCTATGTCTGTATTATATTTGTGTATTCAGTGTAGTTTCAACGTAGGTCAGTATTAAAACAGTCAAATCAACCAAATCATACTGAAATGAGGTGGAATCCGAAAGAATTGTAATGAAAGTCAGAGGTTGTGAGGTCACAGATTTGCAGCCCTACAAACAGGTTAGAGGCTGATGCAGTGATGCTGCTGCTGTTCACCTCCAGCAGGTCACTGATGTCCTCGGTGTGGGGAGTGTAGCTCATCTCTTTACTGCCTTTATGGAACCAGGAGCAGCGCCGGACCTCCGAGGATGTCTGATCCCAATAAACAGCATAACGCCGCCTCTCCTTTATACACACGTCATACCGCCGACCTTCTGTTGCTATGATCACCTCACCTTCACTCTCACCTGCTACACACAGAATACACACACTGACAGCATAAGCCTCATGATTTCCATTTTTCACTCTTTTAATTATTGCATGAAACTTGTTTTGAATATATTGAATGACTGAACAACGTTAAAAGTACAGTGGTATGGGGGAGTTTCAATACCAATGGGCCAATTTTTGATTTTAGTGGACGATTTATATTTATTTGCTGAGTTTAAAATATTGGAAAAACACATAATATAAAAGGTGCCATAACTTTTGCACAGGCCACATTTTTTGCTCTCCCTCAGTTTGTTAAATTAAGTAAATAAACAGTAATTGTGCATTAAAATGTGTTCTTTGTAGAGGATGTGTTGACTTAATATCACTAAGAAAATCAACACAAGGAATTTAACCAGGGGTGCCAATAGTGATATTTCTATTATTGTATATTAGCTTTTAAATGGTTACATTGAAAACTTTGAGTGACTGAAAATAGTAAAAGAACAGTAATGAATGTAAAAGTGTAAATCATTAATAAAAGTCCCACTGACCGCGAGCGAAGGCGTCCTCCAGCCTCTGAGAGTCCTCCTTGCTGAAGGGCTGCCAGCAGTCCCTGCCATCCGTCTTCTGGTTGTAGAACCAGTGCTGCTGAACTGGTTCATACGGCTCAGGGGGTTCGATCATGATCCAGTCAGGACCCCTCACCTCCTCCCTGAGCTCCACAACCTGCAACACATTACATCTGTAAATCTTTCGGTCCACATTTTTCCTGTACAAACCCATTTACACTTACTTACACAAAGCTTTGGTCTGAACATCATTCAAATTGTACTCTTACTTCTGGCCGAAGTACTAAAAATAACTTTCGACAGGCAGTTTATAGTGTTACTATGACATTTCATAACGTCATAATATGACTATAACCAAAAGTACATCTTAGGATAAAAGGGGTTCCATATTTACCTCTGTAAAGAACCATATACAACAAGTTATCTTCACAGAGAAAACCACTTAAACAGGAAAAGAAGCATTTGAATGGTTCTTGAAGTTGACACTGTTTTTAACAAAGAACTTAAAAAAACTTTTTTTAAGGGTGCAGGCCATAAAGCCTGACCCATGTGTGTTAGGGGCTGAGTGTGCCAGATGGGGCAAAAACAAAACAAAACAAAACAAGCAAACAAGCATTCAAAATCATGTTAGAAGTGACCAAATTGCTTTACACATACAAAATAGTTCCCTACGTTTACATGCTTTGCCTTTAGGCAGACACAGAAATACAATGCTAGAGAAATACTAACATTTTGTGCTTAAATGCTAACATCTAGTTAGATCTAACTTTTGTTCCATAATCAAATACATGAAAATTCAGGTCACTGCAGATTTCACAGGGCAGATTTAGCACACCACGGCGGTAAAGCAACCAAGGTCATGGTCTTGGATGACCTTTACTCTGTGTGACTGCCAGCCGGCTGACCTGCTCCAAATCATTCTCTATCACCAACCATCCTACTGCGTCTGTTTCACAAAGCACAATTCTGTTACTTTTGGCTTAAAGAAATAGCTAAGCAAAATATCTAATTTGCAGTTTCCCCTATTACCTCAAACATAGTCAATCAGCCAAGACATGTTTTGATGTCTTTAGTTGTAGCACTGGAGCTATGAGGCTAATGTAGCTAACAAGTAATAGAAGGTTATACCTATACAGTGCTAGTCATCTCATGCCTCAAAGTGTGTGGAGCTGTTCAGTATCTCTAATAGACTTGATTATGTGGTTTCTGACTCACTGCTATCTATAAACATGGACAAAAGTATGTTAGCATAGCTAAGACACTAGCAGCCATTCTGAAGCCTTAATTTTGTCCCTACTTCTTGTCCAGGGTTTGAGGCAAATGTGTGATGATCTAGTCATGCATTTAGCACCGCGCTTCCATTAACTGTTAGCTACATTAGCCTCATAGCTCCAGTGTTAAAACTAAAGAAGTAAACTTCAGACTCCAAACATGACTATGGTGATTGTCTACATTTAGTTCAAAGGGGAAAACTGGGTTGTGTGATTTTTTTTCCTAAGCCTGATCCAGCTTAGTAGAGCTTGCTTTAAGAAATATCCGTCAGAGATATTTTGAGAATCTGTTGAATCAGATGGAGATCAGGGTTGAAACTCATTGCAACAGGACACATCTCCAGAATGAGGGCTGGTGGCCCCATTGCAATGGATACACATGACCACATCACATCAGGGGGATTTTCATTTTTACACAATGGACTCTTGACCATGATGTCATTATGAGGCGATGATATTTGTCAGTCAGCCAGCTATGGCAAAAGTCAAGCCTGTCCAGTAGACCTCTGAAGTTGTGTCATTCTGTATGCCGTCATGCCCACATTAGAAACTCTGGGTCTAAACTGGATTTAGGATTAAAGATCTGGGGATCAAAACACAAAAATGTCCCAAAGCCGGTATGTTTTGTCTTGTGTACCTTTTCGCTCTAAATGCCACTGATTCTCTGAATTATGAGGTCATTAAGGAGTTGATATATGAACACTGCTAATACCCCTGCGCACTGAAATGATATATGACTAAACTTCAACACTATTGTTATATAGTAACACCAGCCACTCCTAATGTACTCTACTACTGCCAAAGACAATAAACTACCACACTGGACAAAGCGTGCAGGTTTGTTTAGGGTGTTTTTGTGAGGTCAGTGCGATAATGTCAATTTTGTGTGCGGCAGTGTTAGCTCACATGTAGCGAAAATGTATACACAATCTCGTAATTCAGAGGATCCACTAATATTCAGAGGAAAAACTATGTAGGACAAAAACCGACCTGCTTTGGAACATTTCTGAAAATCCCACTCATATTTCACATAGAGAAAAACAACTTAGAGCAAAGTTACTTTATAGCTACAGAGTTATACATATGAAATTTTTATTCGTTTTTTTTTATTATTTTTTTTTTCCATTTGCTTTCAGTTAGTGTGCATTAAAAGTATTAGTTTTGTTTTATTTGTCTAAAAAGTAATAGTCTTAGTTTTTTTTATTATTTCAGTTTCATTGTAGTTGCTGGTATTATGATGAACACTGTGATAGAAGGTATTTGATGAGGATGAACACAGCAGCAGACTGAGCTCATCTCGGCTCCAACTTTCCTTAAACACGGCCGAAAACAGAAAAAACTTATTACACTCTCATTCACTGCAAAAACTAAAACTAAAGGTTGATTCTGAGTAATTCTATTTTGTTTATATATAGTCATTTCTATTTTTATTTCAGTTTATAAGCACAGTTGTGCAGCTCTATTTTTCACATTAGAGATAGCTTTAGTGAACTATAATAACCCAGAGTTACAAAATAGATGACACAGCACCTCTGAAGCCTAAAGAGGGAAAAAATATCCACCTGATTTTCACAAAGCAGGGTATCTCAGTTAGCCAGATAACATAAAATAAAAATCGATTCTACCCAACTGTCCGCTTCTACATCTCAAAAACTGTGGATCCAGCGCAGACATGACTGATGTTTTAGATCAGGGGTGCCCAATCCTGGTCCTGGAGATCTACCAGCTGCAGCGTTTAGCTCCAACCCTAATCTAACACACCTGATCCAGCTAATCAAGGTCTTCAGGTGCATCTGACTATATGAGCCAGGTGTGTTGGATCTCCAAGACCAGGATTGAGCACTCCTGTTTTTTCATGATGCTAATTGGTGGCTATAGGCTTCCATGACTACATTAGCCTCATAGCTCCAGTACTAAAACTATAGAACCAAACTTCATACACCAAACATGTTTTTAAAGAATATTCACTGTTTTGAACCGAGCTGTTTTATTAGTTGTGGTCAATCAGGAGTAAACATCACTGAATAAAATCCTAGAGAAACCTCTCAGATAGGAGCGTATATCATATCTCTTGGCTGACTGACATTCTGGGTAAGGGGCTTAACTGTGTACATTTGGTTTTTGTCCAAACTACCTCTTTGAATCCAAAGTGAAGACTGTCCTATATATCTCTTCTTCTACTGGACAAACCCGACCTTTGGTTAATGTCTGTCTAACTGAACCGTCTGTGACGTAAACAAACAAACAAACATACACAGATGGCAAAAATGGAACTGGAGAGACTTCAGACAGTGAATGACAGTCAGTCCACTGAAAACAGCATCAACCGCTGACAACAACAGGAATACTATCAACAAAAGACTAACATATAATATATTATATAGGATCCGGACACAGACAACTATTTTAAAATGTTAAAAACCGACAGAAAATGACCACAGAAAGATAATCGGTCATCAAAACACGAAGACGGGTCAGAATAAGTACATTTACATCGCCTATATATATATAATGTATACCCCTCACAGATATCATTAACTTTCCTCTCAGCGCCGGTTACACACAACCGAGCCCTCAGGATGGAAGACTAGTGACGTATTTCTCCTGGTTTTACACATTATAACCACAAAATCGAGTTTCACAGCTAACAATGTGACATCAAAACAGAGTCCTACCCTCCAGCTCGGACATACGGGCACACAGCAGGGTCAAAAAGCGAGGAGAACCGCGTTTCAGCTCACAGTGTTTTCCACACTGCAGGAAAACACGCAGGATATAAATACACACAGAGCTGCTCTGAAAGAGGATAAAGGTCGACTGAGAGGAGGAATCAGTGAAATATCAGCGCTCATGTGAGCATGAGGTCATTCAGTGAACGTATCAATGTGGATCAGTGAGTCAGGAGGACATTATGAAGATACTAAAGATAATAAGATAAAGATGGTGATAGAAATCAACAGCAGGCACAGGATTAGATCAGGTTTCCCTAACAATACACACTTAAAAAGATGCTTCTTTAAGGGCTCTTTAGAAAAGAAAATAGTTCTATATAGAACAATGAACACTCAAAGAACCTTTTGCATGATTAAAGGGTTCTTTGCATTGCTTTGAGATTGTGTTGAATATGGATGCATAGAATCTTTTTGAAAAATGCTCTATATAGCACTGAAATGGATGCTTCTATCGTTACAGGCTTGACATCATAACAATAGCAGAACCTTTTTCAAAAAGGTTCTATATAGAACCATCTACAGCGCATTCCTCACCAATCTGAAGAACGCTTTCACGATGCAAAGAACCCTTTAATCATGCAAAAGGTTCTTTGAATGTTCATGGTTCTACATAGAACTTTTCTTTACTAAAGAACCCTTGAAGAATCATCTTTATAATAAGGGAATAATACTTCATTTTAACAACAACAACAAAAAATAGTTTAACATACTACACAAATACTTGTTTATACATATTATAAGTTTGCATCTAAACATGCCATAAGAGCAACGTGTACAGACCACAGAGTCAGAGACCAACCTTCATTGAATTCATTTCCAGTCATTAAAGGGAAACTTGACAGATTTTTCAAAAATTCTGTATTATTAAATGGTTGAGATGTAAACAGAGTCGTTCAGAGTGGTTTGGTGTGAAATGCTCTGCTCTAGATAAACTTACTGAGTCACAATTGTTCACATATTTCACAAAAGTTCCCTCACAGAAGGTTATTACATGAAATGGTTATGAATTCACTGCCTGATGTCTGAGACACTGTTTTCTGATAGTTTTGTTAAACAATTTTGGCCTAAAATGTATTTTAATTAACTGATTTTTATCAAGCCATGGTGGAGGGATACATGCAAGGCGTTGTTAGGCAAAATAGTCCCCAAAGAAAACGTATTATTTTAAATTTTCCACTATTTTCCCATCATCAACATTCCATATAAAACTCAGAGGACACGTGTAGGTTCACTGGTGGTTTTGGATAGTAAATAAAATGTCTATATTTATGTTGTAGTCATGGTGACACCTGGTTCCCATCACCACCACTGTAAAGAAATCTCAGTCTGTATGTTTCTCTACAATGAACAATTTCTTATCAAACCACTCCAAATGACTTTGTTTACATCTCAAGGACTGAATTTTTCAGAAATATTGAAAAAATGGTGGACCTCCCCTTTAAGTACAAGCTATTCATTTCTTTAGAAGACATTTATGAGATTAGATATAAGATTATCTACTTGCATAATGAAGGAAAAGGTGAAAGTGAATTTACTCTTTAATCAATTCACCAAATATTGAATACATTTATTAAATTTGATGTATTCTTTAATAGATTTATTCTCAAAGGGGAAAAAAGGAATATCTGTATTCTACTTATTGTAGTTTTTGTTTTATTTGTCCCTTACTTTAATACTTGTGTGCTGTCTGGTCTGTTCATTGTAGTAGTGATTCCTTGTATGTGTAACGTTCTTGGTGAAATGAAGTGATTCTGTTTCCAAAACTAGAGTTCAAAAAATGATTAAAAGCTACAGGGACTCCTAACAACCACATGGAAGACCTGGTAGACTCCACTGGCCTCCCCAGAGTCCAAGCCTCAACATCGCCGACTTTGTTTGGGATTACCAGAAAATGCTGAACCACTTTTTTTTTGAGAAACTGAAAGTGAAACTGGAAGCTCTGACAAAAGCAAAATATGGACACGCCAAACTCTGGCAATTAAAACAATGCAGGATGGTCTCTAACTTATGCACAGTAATGTACCAGTACTTCTTTCCCATCAGTTTACTATAATGGTTTTTAACTGGCAACAACATTGTCCAGTTCCAGGGTAGGCTATATACAGCTATATGATAAATTACAAACCTGCAGTGCTGGTTTGTTTCCTAAACCTAAATTATTTTAATATTTAGTAGAGCAGGTTTATGAGCAGTTTATTGTCTCTCAGATGAGCAGATGAATCAGTAGTGTACAGCTGTGCGTCCTGCTGTTTGACCTTTGCTTTTGGCAAGGCCTGTATGGAGCGTGACTTTATTACACCAAAACAGCTCAGACAGTAAGAGGATATCAGGCCACTGTTGGCCAGCTGACGACAAAGCTGGCGGCCTACTGGCTTTTTGCTCAGCATTTCCGGGAGGTTCACCCGTGGTAAAAAACAGAATATTAGACAAAAATGCCACTTTTACAGTCCAATTTACTTATTTTTCCTTCTATTTTCTTTCATTATCCTTTGTAAATTAGTTTAGTAAATCACTGTTCTCAGAAGAAAACCTCGTATCTCCATTCTTGTAGTTTTTGGCAAAATTTAAAAATGCCTGTTGCTCTTTACATTGTGTGTACATTTCATGAAGAAAGGACCAAAAGAAATAACCCAAAACGACCTGGAAAAAAGTGTGGTTCCATTGACTTACATTAAAAGTAAAGTAGGTTTTTTCCTTTTGCCTGTAAAGGTTTACGAGGTTTTCTTCCAACAACAGCAAAATTATTTTAATCCAGCACTGTGTCAGCAACATGTTCAAAATCATTTTCTTAGGCCTAGCCATTTTTTCTCACAGCTGTTTATAATATTTTTATTTTTCAAAATAAATTTAGGTTTAAAATCTGTTTAAGGATTAAAAACTAGATTTTGTGTGCAGTACAGTAACTTAGGTGGTCCGAGGGTCGACCAGCAGTGGCACACTGTCATCTTGTCATCAAGGTAGCAGACTGATATAGGCTCATATCTGGGAGGTTTCTTTCAGTGATCACTCCTTATTGATCACAGCCAGTGCATGCCAATAAAACATAGCTCAGTTAAAAACCAGTGAATATTCTGTAAAGACATATTTGATGTCTTAAGTTTGCTTCTTTCGTTTTAACACTGGAGCTATGAGGCTATTGTAGCTTAGAAGTAATGGAAGCTTATACCCCACAAATTAGCATGGTGCTAACTGCATGTCTAAATCATCACACTTGCTTTAACCTGTGTGGAGATGTTCATTAATCTCTAATAGACTTGATTATGCGGTTACTGACACTGTATGACTCACTGTTATCTATAAACATGTACATTACCAGCTAAAAACGTACTGAAACCTGAATTTTGTCTTAATTTATATCAACTTTTATAGTGTTATACAGCATGTATAACATCACGATGGCTTGTCGCAAGTGATAATGCATAGTTAGCACAATGGTAATCAGTGTCCAATGCTTGTTAGCTACATTAGCCTCTTAGCTCCTGTGCTAAGACTAAATAAGCAAACTTCAGGCACCAAACATGGCTGATCGATTACATTAAGGGGGGAAAATGGAAAAATACAATTTTATATTAAAATTATTTTTTCTAAATCTAACTAGGTGAGAGGGCAAATGGAGTGACTGATGATGATGATGTAAAAGAAAATTCCCAACATACACTAATGATGCAAGAACCATCCATTAGACTGGCTGTAATAATCTTTATTGACATACACCTTCATAAACACAGCGACCGAGGGACATTTATACTGTACACGCACACACACATACACACCCATCCTTACAGGCAAATTCCACCAATTTTTCAAAATTCTCTGCATAATTAAACAGTTGAGATGTAAACAGAGTAATTCCCAGTGGTTTGGTGTGAAATGCTCCAAGTCAGAATTTTTCACAGTGGTGGTGATAGGAACCAGACGTCCACCTCTAAAAGCTCCCTCACAGAAAGTTATTACATAAAATAGTTACGAATACATTGCCTGATGTCTGAGGCTTTGTTTTATGATAGATTTGAGAAGATTTTTACCTAACTTTTTAAAGCAATCCATGGTGGAGGGATTAGTCCCTAATTTTCTTCCCTTGATTTTCCACTATTTTCCATTCATCAACATTCCATATAAAACTCAGAAGACACGTGTAGGTTCACTGGTGGTTTTGGATAATAAATAAAATGTCTATATTTGTGTTGTAGTCATGGTGACCCCTGGTTCCTATCAGCACCACTGTAAAGAAATCTGAACCATTTCACACCAAACCACTCTGAATCACTCTGTTTACATCTCAACCACTGAGGTATGGAGAAATATTTTTAAAAATGGTGCAAATTTAGGTCCCACACACCCAGCAGACGTGTTTTCACTTACATCTAAAACAGAAAGCCCAAAGCAAAAACAAAGCTCAAAGACTACTTTCTACAATACGCAATTGTCCCATCCAGGCTCTGCCCACTAATGTGTTACTTCATCGCTACTGCTGTGAAGCTGAACAAGCTTTACAGAATGCTGGTGAAGATCCCCATTCCAAATGTAGGTATTGTGATACAAACAGAGTCTGTTTTACAGTTTCTCATTAGGTTTGATGGGATTTTACCAGCGTTCTGTAAAACCTGTCCAACCTCACAACAGTAGCTACAAAAAAAACATGTTTCTATGAGGGGCCTGGAAACGTGAGTTGGTTTTAATGTCTGTAACATTCCAAAACAGAAATTGGTCCTCGTAGGTCACAGGCAACACAGGAAAGAATCTGGCAGCATTAGGTTGTGGGCAATGCCTGAGGCATACTTGGCCACTCTGCACACGCCCATACAGTTCATGATTTCAACCCATACAAAATGTAATATATTAAAAATGCATCAAAATGCAGAACATATTTCTTATAACTTTGTAAAACACTGACAACGTATTCCAATATATTCCATCATACGGGTTTTAGGGGCTAATATAGTTAGGGTCCTATAGAGGCAAGAGGTAGCTTGTGTTAGCCTGTTTGCGGTTCTGCACAGACTGTGTCGTCTCTCTGAGCCGGAGCGGTCTGTGGCAGTCTGATTCATTCAGCGCGGGGTAATGTTGACGGTAACACAGGTACGAGAAGGCCAATCCCAGCAGAGATCCCACCAACACATCTGCAGGGAACCACAAAGAGACATAACACACAACGTCAGGGTCAAAATAACAGAAGATACTGTATCTTTATGGCAATAACAATAAAGAATTTACATAACTTCCTCCTTTCCCTGAATGACGACCAGCTAAGACATGTTTGGTGTCTGAGATCAAACTGTGTAGCATTGTTAAAGGGGAATTGCACCAATTTTACTAAATTCATGCATAATAGAACAGCTGAAATGTAAACACAGGTTTAGAGAAACTTACAGAGTCAGAATTGTTCACAGTGGTGGTGATAGGAACCAGATGTCCACCTCTAAAAGCTCCCTCACAGAAAGTTATTATATTATGATAGTTTTGAGAACTTAAACTACATTCATGGTGGAAGAATACATGCAGGGTGTTGTGAGGCAAAACAGTCCCCACAGAAAACATATTATTTTGGATTTTCCACTATTTTCCCCATCATCAACATTCCATATAAACTCAGAAGACACGTGTAGGTTCACTGGTTATTTTGGATAGTAAATAAAATGTCTATATTTGTGTTGTAGTCATGGTGACCACTGGTTCCTATCACCACCACTGTAAAGAAATCTGAACCATTTCACACCAAACCACTCTGAATCACTCTGTTTACCAAAGTATCACTTTAAATAAACACTTGCAGCTTCATAAGACCGTTTCAGACTCAAAACCTGGTACATTATCAGGATATTTTTAACAGTAATGTTCGGGCTTTACGTTGTTCACACATGCAGCCCTTAAACCGTACTGGGATTCTTGCGTTCATCCTTGGCACAAAGATTCTCAGAATAAACAGCTCCTTCATTTCTGGATCATGTACAAAAATATAGTGATTTTTTTTCAGCTCTCTTGAAAGCTGAAAAAACTTGACTGTAAAAAACAAAAGCGACACTTAATTTTTCTCCTCTGTCCACCATGCTTAGCCACTTTTGCACAGTAGCGGCCATTTTGTTTTCATTTTGTTTTGCTGTTGACAACATCTGTACTGCTTTTTGATTGGTCACAACGATTTTAGATTTTAGAGCTTTAGCTTTTTATTTTAGACCAAAATAACCAAAAAAAAAAAATTGAAAAATAGAGCCGTACAAACTTCAGATCCTGTGCTGACAGAAGCTGAATTTACTAAGACATTGCACTGCAGTTCTGTAAGTTACTCAGTACTTAAGCAGTTTTTTGACATGATACTTTTGTACTTTTACTCAAGTTATTTACTTTTAATTTTATTTGAGTCATTATTTTTCCTAAGTATCAATACTTTTACTTGAGTATTGATTTAGACTACCCCACCCACCTCTGTGTAATATCACAACACTTCAGGAAGATTTTTATGAAACATGTCACGATATTTATTATTTCTGACATTTAATATGAACAGACAAAGTAATGCCACATTTAAACACCAGCAAAAACTATGAATCCAATTACTTATATTCAACATTTCACACACTGTGCTGCACTGAATCAATTAAGCAGGACTAATCAGACTCTCATTATAATGAAGCATGCAGTTGGAAAGTGATTTTTAAATAATGGCAATATCCACGATATGCTCAGAAAAGCATACTGTGACATACTGTGATGTAATTTTGCATGATAATGATAAATATTGTGATATTGCCCAGCTCTACGTGAACGTTTTTTAACTCCAGCTTGTGTTCACACTTAACCTCTTCCTATGGAGTTCATTTTTGTGCCACAATGTTTGAGAGAAGATCCTGATGTTTGAGAGAGGAATGTCACGGTTTGAGAGGACAGCGGCGCTCTGAGTGCACAGCTAATGAACTTAAACGCACTTGTCAGCACCAAGTGCGCAGATAAACACCTTCGGATTTGCTCAACAAAACAAATGTTAGATTAATACGATATTATTTATGACAGGGCATAACTGATCAATCATTTCTATTAATTTGATACTAGAAAGCTATAAACCATCTAGCTAATGTCAGAAGGCTATAAGCACACTAGCTAACTCAATACCACAGCCACGAACGTGCCTTGACCAATTGGCATAAAGCTGCTCAAGAAAAGATGCCATGATTGGTGCGCTGACAGGAACCGCCCCTCGGCAGCTCTGATTGGCTGGAGTTTTGACACAAACATTCAGACATTTTACAGCGAGCAGATGTGAAAGTTGAGCGCGCGCTGCAGAGCCGAGGGCAGAAATGATTTGTGTGCACGTGCGAGTTTTGAAGGTGAAGAGCATGATTGAGCAGGTTTTCCAGTTTTGAGTGAAAACCGGAGTGTTTTGCACGTTCGAGTTTTGAGAGGGAAAAACACTGTTGTGCAGATTTTCAAGTTTTGAATGAAACCAGAGTGTTTTGTTGAGCAAATCCAAAGGTGTTTATCTGCGCACTTGGTGCTGACAAGTGTGTTCAAGTTCATTAGCTGCGTGCTCAGAGCACCGCTATCCTCTCAAACTGGAACATTCCTCTCTCAAACATCAGGATCTTCTCTCAAACATTTTGGCACAAAATTAACTCCATATCTTCCTGTTTAATCAGAGATACTTTCCCAAGTGAAAGTGTGTGTGTGATATGGGCTCAGTGTAAATACTGTATGGAGTCTTCACCTTGCCAGTGGTGTTTGTAGTCGCAGGTTCTGGACAGGGCGATCATGATGGCGAAGAGGAGCGGAGTGAGGAAGGCACACAGTCTCCAGGCTTTTCCCCGGCCAGCTGGACTGAAACAGTGCAGCTTCCCCGCAATATACAGTGCTGTGAAACCCAGACCAGCGAACGCAACTGAACACAGAGCAGAACACAGAAGAGCACAGTCAAACAGCACAGCTCAATACAATCACAATACCAACACAGAAACTCTATCACTGCCTTTATATTTCACTGGTCACTTTATCAAGGTAGGTGTTTTTAATAAAGTGGCCAGTTAGTGGACACACAAAGTGGGTGTTTCTAATAAAGTGGCCAGTGAGTGGAAGTACAAGGTAGGTGTTTCTAATAAAGTGGCCAGTTAATGGAAGCACAAGGTGGGTGTTTCTAATAAAGAGGTCAGTGAGGTTAAGTACAAGGTACGTGTTCCTAGAAGCCAATGTAATGTGAAAAAGAGAGAATGTGTAATTACATGATGAATGTCCGCTGGGAAAACTCTTCCTGCCCTCCATAACCACTTCCGGATCACCGCTGCAGCGCAGCTCCGGGTTCATCTGACCATCCGGGAAACAGCGGTAGAAGAAATCAGGACGTGGCCTGGAGGAAAAGAACAGAGATAAAAGACAGCTCACTGTAAAGTGGAGAAAAGCCTGGAGAGCTTAAGGCTTTCAATCAGACAACATTAAGCCTTAGTAGAGGGTGAGTAAAGAAGGGAGAGGGAGCTCAGAGAAAACAGCAGGTTCAGTACTAGTGGGTTTTTCCTATATTCTCAATTTCATTAGCAAAGCATGTAATAAGTGTGTAGAATTCAGTTTTAAATTATATGGTCCTGTAAACTCCAGATAAATACTCTTTTTTACTGGTGGTCAGAGGGGTTGGATTAATGTCTCAGCACTCACCTTCCCACAGCAAGCTTCACAGCATTAGTGAAAACTCCATTCAGTACCAGAGTCAACGTCACAGCTGAGGAAACATCCAGCCAAAAGACAAGTTAATACTGATACAGCACTCATATTATGAGATTGTTTTGCACTGGAGAGTAAAAAGCTAAAATAAACATGATGTCTGCACCCACGCCCCAGGAGCACCTGCCTTTTTGTTTCATTTTTGTGACCTCCGTAGCGCTTCTTCATTTCTGGTATTTTAAACATGATGTCTTTCAACAACTAAATATGAAATAAGTAACTGAGATAACTCAAGTACTATAAACGTATCAGCGTCAGAGAAGTGGTTTATGAGTAAGTGTGACTTGCAGAAAATGGCAGAGCTGTGGGACCCAAACACACACACACATCATCTAAACCGCTTATCCTTCTGGGTCACAGTGGGGTGCTGGAGCCTATCCCAGCTGTCATTGGGCGGAAGGCTGGGACCCAAACAACACCGCTCAAATAGAGCAGTTCAAGGATCAGTTGATAAAAGACAGACGTTACAGACATTTATATGACCTTCTTTACAATATTACACAATGAGATTTCATGCTGCATCAGATATCAGAATCAGGGGCCGGACTCAAAAAAGTGTCTTAAGAAAGAAAATCACCGTAAATGTTTGTTTTTTCTTAACTTCATTCGTAAGAAAAAAAAAAGTTATGAAAAATTGTTATTTTTCAAATAACTTCTTAAGAATTCTTGAAAACATTATGTTCTTAAATGTTTTCTTAACCTTACGACAAACTCACACTTGTCTTGTGCTATAAGAATCGATGAGTTGAGCATCTAAACTGATCAAACTCGTATGCTGCTCCTTATTGTCTCTTCTGCCTTCACCCCACAATTATCCTATTTTCCAAGGAGGATTTTTTCTTGTTGGCTGTTTCTTCCGTCTCCTCTAGATCTCGTTTGCTAATTTTTTTAAATGCTAGGTTTGATGTTTTTCCTCTGTTTTGCGCCCCTGAGCGGATTAAACTTATAACAGAAATAACAGTTAATACAAATTCTAGATGTATCTTGCAGCGTTTATTTAAGCTGTAAAATGCGCCACAGCCTACATAAGAAAATTGTAGGCACTAATTAAGATTATCTCAAGAGAATATTTGAGAACTTGTTTTGAAAATTGCATTTAAGAACATTCTTAGTGTTTGTCTTAAGAACTTTACAAGATTTCTCTTAAGAAAGCTTTTGTGAATCTGTGAATCTGTGTGAAGCTGTATGTGTGAGAAATGACAATTTTTCACACATACAAAACAACAATTTGATATATGTTTTTTTACCCCCAATATGTTAAACTCAGCGAATTACATAGAAACGGTGCACTAAAACGACTATATTTAGGGGTTAAGCACATTCTACAGTGAAGCTATTACCAAATCAGTGATATGGATTAACACTGTTTGTCACCACAGGAGACCTGAGACGTATTTTCCACCCTTATGTTGTTTTTGTTTTTTTGAAGCAACACTACGTAGGATTTGGTGATTTGGAGCCCTCTCTGGTGGACCCCCACAAGCGGATCAATCTGACTTTAGCAGGAGCATTTAAAGGGTATCACAAGAGATCTTAGTCCAAACTTGGTGAAGGATGCGTCTTCTAAGGATGTGAATGAATTATCTACTATTGTCATCATATCTTCATCAGTATAACACTGATGACATCCGAGCCAGACCTTCTTTTTGAGTCTGTGTGTGTGACGTTAATACGTAAAGACGTACGACGTGGTGTGAAAAACTCCTGACCCAACGCCTCTGACATTTTGTAATGCTACTTCTTTCAGTTTTAACAAAAAATATTACACAGTGTTGCTTTAAGTACAGTTTTCTGGAGGAGTGATTCATGTGGAGGGTCAAGAAGAGGAGAAGATGAAATTGTTATTAATAAACTGTGTCTTGTTTGTCACTAGAAAAATGAATTGCTATAGGATCAGGATCACTACTGAAAATTGTCAAATGATACCCAGGCCTACTTGTATCTCCAATATAATGTGTTTTGTCTTTGTCAGTGCGTGACTCACCCAGCGAAGCCTCTTTGACATCCCCCTTTTCAGTCTGCTTCAGGAGTGCAAACAGGAGGATGGTGACAAGTGGTGTGAAGAGAGCGATGCTCTACAGCAAAGATAGAAAAACAGAACACAGAGAAATCATCCACAGCAATTTACACTGTCCAGAGGACCTTTAGTCTCTTTCACCAAACAGATCAACAGGAATGAAGGCAGGAACCCACTTACGAACATGAGTGAGGTGGGAACGCGGTCGTTTTTCACATGCCGGAACTTATAGAGCCACAGCTCCTCCGGCTGGATCTCCCGGCTGAACGGAGACAGCTCCTCCGTCACTCTGAAAACCCAACAGCCACCTGAATCAGTTCCTTAACGTGACAGTTCAGTAAAAAAATCTAATTCACACAGTTTACCCCAAATGTAGTCAGTCAGCCAAGACGTGTTTGGTGTCTGAAGTCTGCTTTAGTTTTAGCTCTGGAGCTACGATGCTAATATAGTTACAGGTAATGAAAGCTTAAACCCCAACAGTCGCTGTGAAAAAAAGTACTTTCTTCATATATCACCATAGAGGGTTTTGCTGTTGTTACAAGTCACAGAACCTTGAGATATAGGGGCTGTTGGGTTTGCAATATTAATACTGTAATATTCAGGGACAGCTTTTCAGTCATCCACTGATATGCTGAACAAGCTGCACAGTTCTGTTTATTAGCAGTGTATAACTTGAGTCTACAGGCCTCTGAAGATATGTTGTTCTGTAGTTGGCGTCACGCCCTCATTAGGAACTGTGGGTCGACGCTAGATTTATCTATGCAGAAAATGAATGGAATTTCTGAAATTCGCTGTTACTGCGTCCTGTAGTAAAGAAAAATGTTCCAAACGGATACACTTTTTTCCCCACCAATCAATGGTCTGCACTAATAGCAGCTCCACCCATACGGTACCTCGACAAATTCAGCACAGGTGCTCAGGTACAGTACGGGTCGTTTGGCAATGGAAAAGTATAAAAAACACCTTTACTATCCTGTTTTCTGTTGTGTCCACGGTTAAAGCACTGGATTACTGTGAAAGCCTCTGTTGTTGCTTTCAACACGTAAACCAAACTGTTTACCAACACAGTTATATACAGTAGTTTGAATACGGCTGGTCAGGTTGCATATTTTGTTAAATTTGGTGCACAATGTCTGTTTATTTGCTGGATTTAATACAACCATATTTCCAAAAAAGTTGGGATGCTGTAAAAAATATAAATAAAAACAAAATGCAATGATATGCAAATCATTTAAACCCTATATTTGATTGAAAGTGCTTTAAAGACAACATATCAAATGTTGAAACTGAGAAATTTTATTGTTTTTTTTTTTAAATATATGGCCATTTTAAATTTGATGCCACGGGGACGGGGGCAACAAAAGGCTGGTAAAGTTGTGTAATGCTAAAAAACACCTGGTGGTTAAATGGCAACAGGTCAATAACATGACTGGGTATAAACTAGCATCCCAGAGAGGCTGAGTCTTTCAGAAGTAAAGATGAGGAGGGTTCACCACTCTGTGAAATTTCTCAACATAAAAAAGAACTTTTGCTTTTCATTATCTGCCATAAATGATAACATTAAAAGATTAAGACAACCTGAAAAATCACTGTATGAAAGGGACAAGGCCAAAAACCAGTATTTGCTGGCTGTGTCTTCTGGGACGTCAGACAGCACTGCATTAAAAACAGACATGATTCTGTAGTGGAAATCACTGCACAGGCTTAGGACTGAGGGGAAGTGGAAAAGTGTCCTGTGGTCCAACGAATCAACATTTGAAATTCTTTTTGGAAATCATGGACACTGTGTCCTCCGGGCTAAAGACCACTCAGCTCGTTATCAGCGCACAGTTCAAAAGCCAGTATTCATGATGGTATAGTACAGGGGTGCATTAGTGCACATGGCATGGGTGACTGGCACATCTGTGAAGGCTCCATTAATGCTGAATGATATATACATGTTTTGGCAACATATGCTGCCATGCAGACGACATCTTTTACAGAGAAGGCCTTGCTTATTTCAGCAAGACAATGTCAAACCACATTCTGCATGTATTACAACAGCATTGCTCCATATTAAAAGATTTCAGGTGCTAAACTGGCCTGCCTGCAGTCCAAACCTGTCACCACTGATAATATCTGGCACATTAGAAAATGAAAAATACGACAAAGGAGACCCCGAACTGTTGAGCAGCTGAAATCCTATGTTAAGCAAAAATGGGAAAACAATTCACTCTCAAAACTACAGCAATTGGTCTCCTCAATTCCCAAACGCAGATTGTTGTTAAAAGAATAGGTGATGAAACACAGTGGTAAACATGCCCCTGTCGCAACTTTTTCGGAATGTGTTGCTGGCATCAAAATCAAAATCAGCAAATATTTTTCAAAAAACAACATAATTTCTCTGCTTCAACCTTTGATTTGTTGTCTTTGTACTATTTTCAATGAAATATAGGATTTAAATGATTTGCACATCATTTAATTTTGTTTTTATTTACATTGTTATATTTTTACCCCCAATATGCTAAATTCAGCAAATAAACAGTAAGTGTACATTAAAATGTGCAGAAGGGTGTCTCTGTAGAGTATGTGTTCACTTATTTACACTTAAAAAACCAACACAACATAATGATGCGATTTGACCAGGGGTGCCAAATATTTTGCATACAACTGTATATACAACAAGCTTGGGCTCGATCTAAATGACAGGCTCCTTGACGTGGACCGTCATCGTACCACAAGACATGAACTCACTAAACACCATGTAGATTTAATTAGCACTTGTGTGCTGTATTTATAGCAGCTGGATCTCTGCATGAGTGAAAGGACTTACAGGAACACAGCCAGCAGCAGCAGACGCACCACGACTTCAGCAATGAAGCCGCTGTCCAAACTCTTCCTCATCTTTAGGCCAGGTGAGTTAGAGCAGTCCACTGCACCTGTGCCCTGAGGGTCAGGAGGACACAGAGGTTTTACTGCTTACGCTGATCAGGAGAACCTGAAGAGCATTTCATAAAGCAGTTGTTCATTTAAAGGGGAATTCCACCAATTTTCTGAATTCTTTGCATAACTCAATGTGAGATGTGAACAGAGTGGTTTAGTGTGGAATGGTTCAGATGTCTTTACAGTGGTGGTGATAGGAACCAGGGGTCGCCATGACTACAACACAAATACAGACATTTTATTTACTACCCAAAACCACCAGTGAACCTACACGAGTCTTCTGAGGTTTATATGGAATGTTGCTGATGGGAAAATAGTGGAAAATCTGGAATGAGAAGTTTTCATTGGGAACTATTTTGCCCCAGAATATGTCCCTCCACCATGAATGGATTTTAAAGATACATTTTACACATATTCCTAGCCATTTCATGTATTTGTGAGGGAGCTTTTAGAGGTGGATGTTTGGTTCCTATCACCATCACTGTGAACAGTTCTGACTTGGTAAGTTTCTCCAGAACAGAGCATTTCACACCAAACCACTCGGAATTACTCTATTTACACCCTAACCCTTTAGTTATGCAGATTTTGAAAATTAGGTGGCGTTCCCCTTCAATGACCAGCAGGTCTGCTTCCTGAAATGCCCCTCTATTAGACCTTAAAGCTAGTTTAAACACTGAAGACAGGATTTATGACCACTAGAAAGGTGTCAGTGTGAAAATAAGTCAAACAAAAGGTTGAAAACTTTAAAAACTCCCGTACAAATTAAAGCCTCCACCTCCACAGATAGACGAGGGTTAGTCAGATGGCGATGATGTGAAGCGGGAATGAATCTGTCACCTTAAATACGTTAAATATAAGCAAAGTGATGAGTTGTGAGGTTCACAGCCACATCTGGCTGATTACACCCACCTAAACACACTCTGACCTGAGGAAAGGCAAGTCAACAGAAAGAGAAAGTTGCCAGTGAATAATCGATAAACAACCAGTGTCCACCCAGGGGGTACTATTTTTAATATTAGAGCCCAAAAACCTGATTAACAACACGAACTTTAGGTGCTTGCTGGAATAACCCGTTCCACCTTAAATGGTGCAGCAATTACATTGTGGCGCCTGAGGCACCACAATGTAACCGCTGCACTATTTAAGGTGGAACGCGGAGTTTCAACAGGAAGCCAACACACGCGAGATAAAAAAAGGCCAAAAGAAGCTGCAGGAGCCACATGTTCAGAGCTTACGAGCCTCAAACACGGAACCGCAGCCATCATCATCATCGCCACCTTCAGCATCATCATCATCATCCTCCTCTCCGTCTTTTGTCCAACTGGCACAGTTTCGTACAGACCTTCACTTTCGCTCCTTTTGCGTCTAAACCGGCGCCGTGTAGCGCAGCCGCCCGAGTCTGCTGTGCTGGTGGAGTCTGTCATGTATTGTTTTGGTGCGTTCTTGTGGTCAACATCGCCGAATCTGCTTAAAAAGGAAAAAACATCTTCATCCTGGAAGAGCAGAAACCGGACTGGCAGGCAAGGCAACGCACATGAACACGTCACATTAAAACAGGCGGCCTCTAGCGGTCAGCCAGAGCATTACACGCCGCACTGGGCGCGTTCCAATCTGCGCACTCGCGTTCTAGAACACTTGGCTAGTGCATACTTTGATAGTCCCACGTGTGCCCTTAAATTGGGCTTTCCGGCCTAAAACGTGGGTTTGGTGTTATTTTTTGTGTTATTGAAATTGCGCAGCACCGTATCCCTGAGCCTTTTTTGACCCAGCATTGTTATTCAAATATGGCTTACAACCCTTTTTTTAGCGGACTGCTAGCCTAGCCGCTGAGCTGTACACAGGGTTGGGAATACATATTCAGAATACAGACATTAAGTATCTGTATTCAGTCCAACTTACATTTTATAAAAGCCGGAATTTGTAGTATACAGTTATTTTTTACATTTTGAGAATGCTTTTAGAATACTTACCAACTACACAAAAAACATACAATGAACATACAACGTTCAAAAGAAATACCATGAATTTATGGTTAACTATTAACTATTAACCTTGGCACACAGCAAACATGCTCATTAGACGAACTCTTTCTTTACAAACACTGAAGCTCCTGCTAAAGTCTGAGTAGACTGATAAATCAATGTGATGATCAGTGATTAATCTCAGTGTTACTGAGCTCTGCTAAAGCCTGAGTAGACTGATAAATCAATGCGATGATCAGTGATTAATCTCAGTGAAGATGTTACTTCATGTGCCATTCACAACTGTTCAAGTCAATAATATCTGTCTGCAGAGCTGCAGAGCCGCAGTTTCACACCAGCAGGTTCAAGCCAGTGGCATTCAGCGCATGTGTCAACACTTGCTTTGGTTTTTCTTAGTGAGTTTTAGGCTAAACAAGATTTCAGTCATCATTATATGTGGGTTTCCAATAAATATGTGATAAATTTGCGCTGGGCTAATGTTATGTTTTAAGCTTTAGGCTAAAACAACTTTGGACACATATAGAGATTCACAGGGCAAATATTACACAAACTACAGCTGATGTGGCCTGGCTAAGCTAATGGGTTATGTAGACATAATAACACAGGGCTTTTTGTGTACACTTACATTACATGTGCAGGAATAAAACTTTACCTTAAGCAGACTGAGCATAACATTAAGCTTTAGGCTAAAAAAAAACTTTAGTTTTTGAACGTATCTTTGCTGAAAGAAACGATTAAGTGATTATTTTGGTTTCTGATGGTTTTGTAATGTGCTTTGACTTCTAGTTTAACCACTTTCCAATGATTGATTGGTATGTTGGCAGCGGTATCCCCTCCTGAATGGTAATATACATGGCAACACATAAAACCAGCACAAACAGTCACTGTGTACACCAGAGACATTATGAATAAGGACACCAGTCACTGGTTGAAATATGAGTGGGATCACTTGAAATGCTCAGCTTTGCTATAAGGACTTTGTTTACATGGCACAATCGCGCTGTCCTACTGCGCATGCGTTCCACTGGACTGAAACCGCTAGAGTGACTCTTACTACCTTTAACGCAGAGGAGAGATTCTACTGTTACAAAAACATATCATGAAAAACAAAGTATATACAAAAAGTGGTACAATTAGCTAAAACACATCTAAAATGCGTACTAGCTCTGGTTCCTGCCTGAGCCAAACACGGTGCACTGTGGAATTTGTAGTCCTTCACCAACCTACGTTTGACTTCTTCTACATTTTCCTTACATTTTAAAATGTGTATCTGATAAGTTCTTACATTTATCTTGCGCCGTCACGTCTGATATTGATAGAAATGGAAACGGAAGCACACAGATCAATTCTGAAACCGCTATGCTACTAATCTATAAGCATACTCCCGAAAATGGCCACGCGACGTGCATCATATTACTGTAACAGAATATTGATCTGCATCGTGTATCAGGTGCTGCAATTAAGGTGTATATGTACCCATTTTCTGTGAGACCGGGTTGGACAGGAACTGACTACAACACAAATATAGCCATGTATTTACTGTCCAAAACCACCAGCGAACCTACACGTGCCTTCTGAGTGTTTATATGTAAATGGTAAAATAGTGGAAAATCTGATAAAAGAAGTTTTCTTTCGGGACTATTTTGCCCTGTAACGCCCTGCATGTAATGGATTAAAATAAATGGATTAACAAGTCGTTTCATGTCAAAACTTTATCACAAATCTATCGTAAAACAAGATCTCAGGCATTCATAACCACATCAATGCGTTTCTGTAAGGAAGCTTTCAGAGGCGTTAAACTCTTCAGACATCTGGTTCCTATTTTGTGTTTTTTCTTATGTTTTCAGTTTCCTTATATTTTTTCATATTTATATTTTGTATATTCTTGTATATTTTCTTATTTTTCCTGTTTTTATTGATCATTTTTCATAACTGCCATCGTCTCAGCTGGCTGTTTTAACTTTGAACCTATGTCGTCTGGGCAAATGTGTTTGTAGTGAGTGGACTCGTGCCTCAGGACGAAGGCGCTGCAGTGTTGGTTTTATCTGGTTTTATCACGTGTGGTATCAGCTCGCTGTCGATCATTTTGATCATCATTCTCACTGTCTGTGAAACTTCATGCCCTCTTTGAATGGCACGGAGATGTAGCCACCCATAGCTGTGTAGACGATCCTGCCTGCGATTCTCCCTCAACAAAACAGACAGTTTCGCCCGAGTCCTTCTGTTTTTTTATCTAAATAGACACAGTTTCTTGCACAGCCGTTTCTTATACTAATAACAGGCTGGTGAAATCGATATGAAAGTATAACTCCACCAACTCCTCACCGCCCCTCATTTTAACAGGAGAAGGTGCTGCCTTCCCTTTGCAAAGCCTTTGGCCACAATATTGCGAGTTTTCCTAGTATTACCGCCACTTTAACGCATAATTCTACGACGTTTTTTCTAGAAAAAAACTTTTTTCTCGAAATATTACGACTTTATTCTCTAAGTCTACTATTTTTATTTTTATTAACAATGGCTCTAAAACGCCGCTGTTACCCTGCTTTACCCTGTTTACTGCTGTTATTTACTAAAGCAATACGCCACGAGAGGCCGTTACGGCGATTTTATCCCGGGGAAGGCTGTGCTTTAGCAGGAGGCGATGCTGAGTGCCTAAAACTCCCTTCCCCGTGGTAAAATCACAGTAACGCACTGTCTCAAGTAGCTTATTGCTTTTATAAGATGGCGGCCAAAATAAAATATATTTAAATATACAATGTTTTAGATAATTATTTGTTATTATTACCAATAATGGACATAAAAAAGTATTCCGCCAAGAAATGTAATTCCTTTAGAGTGCGGTACTGTTGCTACGCAACCTTTGACCGCTGAATGGGGAGAACATTTGGTCGCCGGTCGCTGTATATTGCGATCATTTCATGGTTGTTTTAGTTTTTGTCGTATAAGAATGAACATATGATAACACAGCACTGTCTAATGCAAAAATATTTGCTTTATAAGTACGTTTTAGTACAGATTACCACCGCCAATCTTATTTAGCACCAATCCAGCAGCGACCCTCTTCTCGTGCTGGGGCTGAATCGCAAACGGCTCATTGCTCCCTACATAGTGCACTAGCTAGCTAGCTACGTAGCTAGGAATTTATACTGGCTCCGGCACCGCAACGGTGCAAAATACAGCTAGAAAATAGTCATTTGGGACTCAGCAACATCCGTACTCGATAAATGATTCATTATTTGGCTGTAGAGACTAGAATTTCTAAACCTTCATAGCTGGCACACTATTTAGGGAGCACAGAGCCGTTTGGGATATTCAGCCTGGGTTTGACGGTACAACTGACCGAAACACCAACATTTGAAGCGCGTAATCCATGCAAGTGACATTTTAAGGCTTTTATACCGTTTCACAGATAATCATACTGTAAGTGCGTTAATTCAAGTCTGTGATATTAATGATGGACGTGTTCAGGCTGTTGGCTAACTTACCTTTTAGCCTGTTAGCTAGCTGACCAGCCTAGTTCGAGCTAACTATGAATGTAAGTCGCCAGCCCCTTAGTTTGAACAAAAAACGGGTTCTTACTTTATCAACATACTCGGTGGTCCATGCGAGCAGCATGAGAGTCAAGGTTCATTTCATTAACAGCACAAGGTTTTTCGTGCCATGGCGGAGTGATACACGATTCAGTTGTTGTGAGGCGGCCATAGGAGTGGAGCTCAGCCAATCAGACTGTAGCTCCCCCTGACAAAAACGTTTCAACATATTTTGTGGTAACCGTTTGATGCACAACACGAGTCAAAGGTGAGTTTTTTATTTTCTATATCTTTGCAGTAAATTAATTTATTTGATTCTTTAAATTAATGACTTTTTGGTTAAAAATCATGTTTGTTTACCCTTCTTTCATTAAAAATGTCATTAAAAACAAAGGTGCACATCCAAACTTTATATTTAACCTGAGAGTATGCTCCGGCGCAAAACTAACATTTTGCAATAAGAATTATGTTCATAAGTTAGAAAAAGGAAAGTTGTTTAACAGAAACAAACGAAACCGCTAAGAATGCTGGGAAGCTTTTTGGGCAAAAGACTCTTCAGTCTGTAGGACTTGTTCAACTTAACTAGCTTTACATAAATAATTAAGAATAAATATAAGATTGAATGAGAAACAGGATGTGTTATTAGATTTGTATTCGTCATTTAAATACATAAATAAATAGATCTAAATAAAAAAGGAAGTTGTGCAGTTTATGCTTTACAGCCCGTACTGTACTGACTGAAACTTTTTCAGTCACTTTATATATTGAACAATGGTTCATGTCGGCGATGACGTCATCGAGCCGTCCTGTGACGTCACAACCGAACCTATAAATAGAGGCTGCAGATTATTGTTTTCTCACTTCGGCTTGTGTCGGCGTGAGCTTACTGAGTTAGCATTGTGAGTGTTTCGTGATGGCAGCGATGACATCCATGAGGAAGCGGTTGTGGAAAACGACTGCAGAACTTTGGAAGAAGACACTGGACGTGTCAACAGACGGATGCTGTCTGTTAGAAGAGGAACCAG